TGTATTTATTGTTCCATATTTGGGTATAGATCCCATAAACCTGCTCATAGGCCCAGTAGTTTCTATATTTCAAATATAACGGCTCATTCAGTTATTCGTTAATTTTGAAGGTTTCTAGAACAATCTGCCGTATAACTGGCTGAAGCCAGAATCTTGAAATTTTGCCCGAGGACCAGTGGTGGTGCTTAGGCTTGCGATTAGTCTGGGTTTTAGAAAATCGTGCTAAAAGGATACGAAAATTTACTAAAATTTGATTTTGGTATAGGACCAAAGTAAAGTGAAGATGTTTTTTTTACAGTGTACCAAGTGTGCAACTGTACTAAATGGTACTAAATTTGGAACAGATTAGGGTGGGCGCATGAAGCGGGAATTTTGAAATCTCGTATCGTGGTTCCTGCTAGTGGTAGTTTTGGTATGGGGTGAACAGCGAGTACTTAAAGTGTGAAATGTTGTATTAGTGTCGCTCTTCACGTGTTGCCTTCACATATAGAGGTGGTTTTGGAATTGCGTATTCTAATTGCGCGAAAAGTTCTAAATGGTCTTGGTTAAAGGAATAGAGAAATTTGTGAAATTTGAAAAATACGTTATTTTAAAATGACCGTAACACTTTAAATATTGACAATTTGGGATTTTCAGCATGTCTTTTCATTCAGATATTGAAACAGAAAAAACTAGTTAAAAAGTATCAGTCGGTATTGCCGCCAGAGATATACCCTCAGCTTATGTTCGATTATCTAAATATATTTTAACTAGTGTAAAAGTTATTCAAACGTTTGACCCTCTATGGAGCAGATCCCGAAGGAATGGGCCAATATTACCCATTTCCTATCGCACCCAAAATATGATATAAATATTTCGACAGATGTGCCAAGTCTAAATGGAATCGGATGTTAATTTGGCGATTTATGAGCTTCATGGGTACTCAAAATTTCAATATTTTGTGGGGGAGGTACTTGATGGAGTGGACCGATATTGTCCATTTTCACACCTGTCCTGGCACTGACGCAAATATTAGGATTCGCAAAGTCGGAGCAAATTCGAATTAGCCTTTATCTTTCTGTGCAAAATTTTTTTTTTTTTTTTTTTTTTGAAAATTTCGACCTTTTGTGGGGGAGGTACCAGAAGGAGTGGGCCGATATTGTTCATCTTAACACAAGACCTTGGGTTAATATAAAAATTGGGATGTGTGAAATTTGAAGACAGTCGGACTCTTACATAACATTTGATGAGAGTTGTAATTATTCAAAATTTTGACCATTTGTGGGGGAGGTACTTGATGGAGTGGACCGATATTGTCCATTTCCACACCTGCCCTAGCACTGACGCAAATATTAGGATTTGCAAAGTTGGAGCAAATTCGGATTATCCTTTCTCTTTCTGTGCAAAAAATATATTTTTTGAAAATTTCGACCTTTTGTGGGGGAGGTACCAGAAGGAGTGGACCGATATTGTTCATCTTAACACCAGACCTTGGGGTAATATAAATATTGGAATGTGTGAAATTTGAAGACAATCGGACTTTTACATAACATTTTATGAGAGTTGTAATTATTCAAAATTTTGACCATTTGTGGGGGAGGTACTTGATGGAGTGGACCGATATTGCCCATTTTCACACCTGACCTAGCACTGACGCAAATATTAGGATTTGCAAAGTTGGAGCAAATTCGGATTATCCTTTCTCTTCCTGTGCAAAAAATATATTTTTTGAAAATTTCGACCTTCTGTGGGGGATGTACCAGAAGGAGTGGACCGATATTGCCCATCTTCGAACTCGATCTAAGTTTGACAAAAATATTACGTAGTAGCCAATTTGGACCAAATCGGATACTCCCTTCGAGAGTTATCGTGCGCACCAGCCAGCCAGACAGACAGACGGACGGACGGACATCGCTAGATCGACTTCAAATGTTCTGAAACGGATTTGGTCCAAAGAGACCTAGGGTCTAAAACCGTTATTTCGACTGCGCACGTTTTGGCCGTATCAAATGATATATACCCTCTGTAGCCATATGGCTGAGGGTATAATAAGGCATTTTAAAATGGCCACAACTCCTTAAGTATTGGCATTTCGGGTTTTAAGCATGTTTTTTTATTCAGATATCGAAAGAGAAAAAATATGGCATTTTATCATGACCATCAATAGAATGTTTCTGCACTCAAATATTGACAGAGTCGTCAAAAATGCAAAATCAATACCTTAAGAAAAACAAGTAAAAAAGCAGTAAGTTCGGCCGGGCGGAACTTTGAATATCCTCCACCATTTGGAACGAATTAGAAAATATTCAAAAAAATAAAATCCATTGAAAATTCTGTTAAAATCTTTAAAATACGTAATATCGGAAGGTGCCGATATATGGGGGGATGTACGCTATTGTGGACCTATATAGACAAATCTATGTCTGGTTGTAAAGTACTCACAAGGAACTTCTTGTGTGGATTTTCAGATAATTCCATTGGGAAATGTGGCTAAAATCATCAAAATCCCGAATATCGGGGGTACCGTTATATGGGGGATATACGATATTGTGGACCTATATAGACAAATACCTTTCAGGGGTTAAAGTGCTCACAAAGAAATCCTTGTGTGGATTTTCAGAGAATACCATTGGAATATATAGCTAAAATCATCAAAATACCGAATAACGGGGGTACCGTTATATGGGGGCTATACGATATCGTTAACCTATATAGAGAACTCTATGTCAGGGGGTAAAGTGCTCACAAAGAACCCCTTGTGTGGAATTTCAGACAATTCCGTTGAAAATGTGGGTAAAATCATCAAAATACCGAATATAGAGGAGTACCGTTATATGGGGGATATACGATATTGTGGACCTATATAGACAATTCCGTTTCAGGGGTAAAGTGCTCACAAAGAACTCCGTGTGTGGATTTTCAGATAATACGAATGGAAAATGTGGCTGAAATCATCAAAATACCGAATATCGCGGGGTACCGTTATATGGGGGCTATACGATATCGTGGACCGATATACCCCATCTTCGAACTTGACCTGCCTGCAGACAAAAGAGAGATCTGTGCAAAGTTTTAGCTTCCTATCTTAAATCGTTTAGACTGTAGCGTGACGGACAGACGGACGGACAGGGCTAAATTGTCTTAGAATTTTCCGCTGATCAAGAATATATATACTTTGTTGGGTCTAAAATGATTATTTCGATGAGTTACAAACGGAATGACGAACTTAATATACCCTCCATACTTTTTTTGGTGGAGGGTATAGAAAACGATTTTTAATTTCCTCCACCATACTACGGAGGGTATATTCATTTTGTGATTCCGTTTGTAACTCCTCGAAATACTCATGTCAGACCCAACAAAGTATGTATATTCTTGATCAGCGTAAAATTCTAAGACGATTTAGCCATGTCCGTCTGTTTGTCTGTCTGTCCGCCAGTCTGTTGTAATCACGCTATCTTTCGAACGAATTGAGATAGAGGGCTAAAATTTTGCACACATGTGTATTTTGCCAGCAGGCAGGTTAAGTTCATAAATGGTCCATGTAGGTCCACGTCTTCGTATAGCCCCCATATAACGGTACCTCCCAATATTCGGTATTTTGATGATTTTAGCGTCATTATTCACCGGAATTGTTTCAAATTACGTATTTAGAGTTCGTAATGGGAACTACAGTCTGTGACAGGTCCAGGTGTTCGTATAGGCCCCATATATCAGTACCTCCTTATATTAGGTATTTTGACGATTTTAGGTACAATACTCCCCGAAATTGTTTGAGATGTCGTACTTGAAGTTCGTAATGGAAGCTACAGCCTGTGACAGAAAATTGTCTATACAGGTCCAGGTCTTCGTATAGCTCCTATATAAAGGTACCTCCCTATGTATGGTATTTTGATACTTTTGGCTACTTTATTCATAGTTTATTTTAAGTTTCGAATTTGAATATGGTAATGGCTTGTGATAAACAATGCCTATGTAGGCGCTTGTCGTACAGGCCTTAATATAACGTCTATATTAGGTATTTTAAAAATGTTAACAGAATTTTTGGTGAATGTTATCTTTTTCGAAAATTTTCAAATTCCTTCTAAATGGTGGAGGGTATTTAAAGGGGAAAACTTACCGCTTTTTTACTTGTTTTAGATAAAATTAATATCATGCTACTAATTTTCCCCATCTAAGATAGTCAAGGAGAACGTCATATTTGTACGCGTTCTCAAAAATTTGGTTTCAAGTTTTACTACTATTTTTTTCGGTGTTATAAAAAGGATTTTAAGAGGAAAAAAGGCGAACAAATGCTAAGAAGGATTCTTGCATGTAAAAGGACCTAGCCCATAATTAACAATCCGATTTTATTATTTATATATTTGTTGTATAAAATGTTTAGTGTTACCCTGTATCTTATAACGCCATCTAGCGACCAACACTCTTATGAAATTTGGCCCGATATAAAAACATTCGTCAGGTTTTTGATTCAATATTTAGCCAAGACTAAAACCAATAAAAAATTGGTAGTTCATTCTTCTTACACCAGAGGTAATTGCGAAGTTAAGAAATAAAAAACCATCCATAAATAAGAATGAATATGAATATTTTTCATATTAAACCATTCTAAGTCAAATTGACTAAACATTGAAATATTCCAGTATACACCCCTCCGATCTTTACCTGGTTTTCGCCCACGAATTTCCTATTGTCATTTATACGGAGAAATAATTATTTTCGCCAATTAAAACCAAAATACTTGAAACCTATTTTTTCTGGGAATCCGAGCAATTTTTTTTTACTTCTCCAAGTACCTAAAAAATTCCCTGAAAACTCTCAATACATAATTATCTCAACTGGCCCTTATCTCAGCAAATACATATTGTGATAATATCAATTGATCGGAAGGGTATATAAATACCTTCGAGCTTTCTAAAATATCATTCAGCAATTAAATTTGAAATCATCACTACACGGAATTAAAATGTTCATCTTAAAATATTCCCTTGTCTTAATATCCTGTGTGATTTTCGTCACAGGATTACCATTGGATTCGAAAGATGTACACGGAAATCAGAGCGCTGTAAAGGTTCGTTCCCCCCGCCATGGCAGCATTGACTTTGGATACCATTCCGATCAGCATGGACGTGAGGCTTCGGTACAATACAACCAGAACTTGTATACCAGCAATGATGGTCGTGGCACCATAGATGCCTATGCCCAGGTTAACCGTGATTTCGATCGCAATCATAATAGCTTTGGTGGTGGCATTGTTGGTTCGTGGCATTTCTGAAATGTGTAAAGAGATTCCAATACAACAATTACAAAAAGTGTAATTAATGATATTAAATTGTATTCAAAAATTAAATAAATCAATAAAATATAATAACGAGAAACAAAAAACGTCAGGCTGGACTTTTATAATCTCACTATGGGGAATTAATGACAGCAAATCTGTTGAACAATATACATATTGAGTATCGAATTAATTTAACCAAATCAGTAATTCAAAAAGTAAGCTAGTAAGGATAAGTAAAGGTCGAAAGTTCGTAGAGCTTCCGTAACAAAAAAGTTTATATTGGGAATTTATGTGAAGTAAATCATACCAACTATGAACAAAATAACAACCGTAAAATCGGATGAAGATGTATATCGAAGGTATATAAAAATCTGAACCGATCTTGAAAAAATTTGGCAGAGCTATTTTCGAGCAGTAACTGATGCCCGGTATCAAATATCATTGCTGTGGAGTGCATATTACGCTTGTGAGGGACTTAAAACACCAGATCGGATCAAACATATATATATTAGAGCTATAGCTATATCTGAACCGATTGTCACCAAATTTGAAGCATTTGTTTCTAAGAAAATTAAGTCGGAATTGCCAAAATTCAGTACATTTGGGCTGACAATAACCATTTCATGCACAATAAACCTGAAATCGGATAAAGATGTGTATGGGAACTATATCCTAATCTGAACCGATTTTGAAAAAAAAAATAGGTGGTTATTTCTGAGCTGCATCTGGTACCAAAGACCATTGTTGTGGAGTGCATATTACGTATGTGAGGGACTTAGACACCAAATCGGATGAAACATATACAGGGTGAGATGAAAAACAAAATACAATCAACTTCAGACTGTTGTCATTTCTAAGTCACCCGTCCGACAGCTGTTAAAATTTTCCAGTGACAGCTGTTTACGAGCGTACAAAAGCATTTTGGTGGGAATTGTCCATTCGGAAAATATTGAAAAATGTGCTCGGGGTAAAGCCACTGAAATTCCAAAAAGTGCAAGAACTTATACCGCAACTGATAGAAAATAGACTCAAAAGAGCTAAAGAGAGTTGCCTCGCTTGGCCGAAAGAGGTGAACTTCCGAATTTGGTTTTCTCCGATGAGAAAAAACATTCGTGGTCCAGCAGTTTGTAAACAAACAACATAATCGTGTTTACTTGCCAAAGTGGTCAACTGAAAATGTGAACCTTCGGTTGGTCACCAGAATTCAAGCGCCGACCATGATGATGGTTTGGGCCGCTATAACAGCCGATGGTCGCTCTCTGAGCGTATTAATCGACCGTGGCATTAGGAGAAATGCCGAATATTATCGCGAAAATATTCTGGATGGTGTATTAAAGCCTTGGGCACGCAAACATTTTGGACATTTCAGACCTTTGACATTCCAAAAGGACTCAGCACGCACCACCCAAGAATGGTTACAAAATGAGGTTACTCGCTTCATTTCCAGCGCACAATGGCCACCAAAATCTCCGGAATTTTTGAAAGCAAGTTTGGCTCTAAAAAATAGCAAAGTGTCGATCACCTCAAGCAAGCGCTTCGCCGGGAATGGACCAAAATTCCGCAGAGCAACATTCGGGCAGCGTGTGATGGTTTCATTGGCCGTTTGAAGGCCATAATTCGTGCCAAAGGTGACTAATTCGAACATTTCATTCTTTCATTCAATAAAATTTTAAAAAAAAGGTAAAAATTATGGTGTATTGGGGCTATATCCAAATCTGAAACTATCTTTACAAAATTTTAGGCACTCATCTCTGAGATGTATCTGAAATCTGGTACCAAATATCATTGTTGTGGAGTGCATATTACCAAATCGGATGAAACATATATATTGGAGCTGTCGCTATATCTCAACTGATTATCAGCGAATTCGCTGTACTTGTTTCTCGACTGAATTCGGTCGGATATGCCAAATTCAGGCCATTTGGAGCTATATCTAAATTTACTCCGATTCTCACCAATATTAATAGGGTTCGTCCTTGGGCCAAACAATTGTTTTTTTGGAGAATTTTCTTTCACTCGGATAAAGAAAGCTACTTGCTTTTTGTTCACAATAATATATGGACAGACAGATGGACGAACTGATATGCATAAATCGACTCAGAAAATGAATCTATGAAAATCCTCGATAATAAATATGGGTCTATCTCGCTGTTACAAACAAATGCACAAAGACATAATACCCTTACCACTATATGGTGTGGGGTATAAAAATACCAACTTTGTGACTCACTTGAGTGAGGAGAAAAATAATATAAATAATTCAAGAAATTTTTGTGTTGCACTGTGTTATTTATCTCTCTTAAGTGGATATAAATATGGCATTAATTCGCAATCCTTAAATTTCTGATCGAACAATACTTAAAGAATCTAGTTCGAATTATATTGGGAAAATAAATTATTTTTATTCAATTAACTATTACATCAATTTAATCGATATCTACAAAATTGTCTTTGTCACCGCTTAAAATCTCCATTTTCCTTGAATGCCACCACCAAAGTTATTGCGATTATGGTCAAAGTTTCGGCTACCTTGGGCATAGGCATCAATAGAGCCTCGGCCATCGCGACTTGTATATAAATTGTGATTATATTGCACCGATGCTTCACGGCCGCGTTGATCTTTGCTATAGCCAATGTCGACACTTCCATGCTGGGGAGAGCGACCAAAACGAGTGTGTTTCATATTTCCCAAACCATCAGTTTGCTGCTCAAAACCATCCTCAAGCTGCATCATTGGTTGGCATGCGGCAAGAACGACACATGCAATTAGTAGCACAAATGTCTTCAGAGCGAACATTTTCTTTTTTTACTTTTATTTTCACTTTAACTTAATTTAAAGAAAATAATCTCTATTTGACTTAACGTTTGTCGAATGAATAATAATTCCGATGTTTTTTCGTAGCTTATATGCAAATCGCTGAAACATCAGCATCTTTCATATGAGGAATTCCCTCGTTACTGATAAGAGATTGTTTATATGTGATATTTTTTTCGTGAACTTTGAGAACAATTTGTTTGATAAGAAGCTTTAAAATTTTTAGCCCTAGGGACTTTTTTGGATGATTGAGGGGATTTATATGTCCACAGTATGAAGGAATCACAATGTGTATTGTCTAGAAACATGGAATTTGCACATATAGTCAGGTAAAAATCCCGATGGTAAAAACTCCCCCTACTCTTTTTCAATGTAGAGTATTTGTTTGTGCATGAGTCCCCAATCGCGGTAGCAACCGAATTAATTTATTTTATACCCTTAGCTATTTGGCTACTGAGGGTATATATCATTTGATATGACCAAAACGTGTCTCGTCGAAATAATGGTTTCAGGACATTTGGAGTCGATCTAGAGCAGTCCGTCCGTCCGTCCGTCTGTCTGTCTGGCTGGTGTGCAGACTTTGTTGCAGTTTCTAAATCTCACCCTGTATTTATAGCCACTTAGGATAGATAAATATCAGAGTGCAACACAAAAATAATTACCATCCTTCGTTTTTGAACAATCTAAGATTTCTTGAAGTATTTATATTTTCCCTCGAAGGGAATATCCGATTAGATCCAAACTTGGTATATTGTAATATTATTGTCAAATTTAGATCGTGTTGGGAGCTGGTCCACTCCGTCTGGGAATTCTCCTCCACAAATGGTCTACATTTCCCAGAAAATAATTTAACGTATAGAACAAGAAAGCACTATCCAATTTTGTGTAAACTTTGCAAATCCCAATATTTGTATCAGTGCTATGTCAGATGCGAAAATGGACAATATAGGCCCACTTCATCAAGGGCCTCCCCCACAAAGGGTCAACATTTTGAATACTTATAACTCTCATAAAATGTCAAAGAGGTATCCGATTCCCTTCAAATTTCGCAGATCCTAATATTTCTATTAACACAAGATCTGGTTTTAAGATGGGATATATTGGTCCACTCCTTCTGGTACCTTTCCCGCAAAGTGTTCAAAGTTTTGGAAAACAAACGCTCACAAAAAACGCCGAATAGGTTTCCGATTTTTTCATATAACTCAAACTTCTGCGATGCTCGTCCATCTGTGGTAATCACTCTAGTTTCCGAACGAATTGAAGTAGGTTGATAAAATTTTATTTAGATGTGTATTTGGTCTGCAGGACTTTTGGTACTGAAAATATATCGTATCGTACCTTCCTATATTCGGTATTTTTATGCTTTAAGCGACATTGTTAACCAGAATTGGTTTAAATTTCGTATTTGAAGATCGGAATAGGTACTACAGGCTATACACATAACAATACCACCCGATATTCGGAATTTTGATGATAATAGCTATATTATTCACCGAAATTGTTTTAAATTACGTAAAAAATTACAAAAATTACGTACAAAAAATTACTTATGCAGATCCATGTGTCTGTATAGCACCCACGGTTTTCATTTAAACGGTATTTTTCGACGATTTTTTTAAAGTTATTACAGTTCCTTTCAAATTGTGGAGGATATTAAAAATTCGGCCCGGCCGAACCTAGCTTCATTTTAACTTGTTATGTATTGGTAATCTTGTGGAGAAGTGATTTCCTACATCTGAAACAATCGCAGTTGAATAAAAGGTTTGGTATTTCTGGCATAAAATATATGGTCCATTTCGTTTGTTATAGACACTGTTCAACTAAATTATTATTACTTTTTTTATACCCTCCACCTTGGAAAGGAGGGTATATTAAATTTGTCATTCCGTTTGTAACATCCTTAAATATTCGTCTTAGACCCCATAAAGTATATATATTCATAATCAGCATAAAATTCTAAGTCGATTTAACGATGTCCGTCTGTCTGTCTGTCTGTCTGTCAATCTGTCTGTCCGTCTGTCTGTCTGTCTGTTGAAATCACGATACAGCCCACAATATTTGACGTAAAGCGCCAAAATTTAGCAGAGCTATTTGCATTGTGTGTAGGATGGTTGGTATTGGAAATGTGATATATCGGTCCACGTTCTGGTATAGTCCCCATATAACGGTACCTCCCGATATTCGGTATTTTGATGATTTACGCCACATTTTTTCACGGATTTGTCTGGAAATTGGTATTTGTAGGTCATAGCGGGTCCCTGAGCGTGTGGCGAAACATTGCATGTATAGGTCCACGTTGTGGTATAGCCCCCTTATAAAGGTACCTCCCGATATTCGGTATTTTAGTTTTTTTTGCCACATTTTTTCACGGATTTCTCTAAAATTTGGTATTTGTGGGTCATAATGGTTTCCAGCTCCGGTGGCGAAACATTGCATGTATGGGTCCATAATTTGGTATAGCCCCCATATAACGGTACCTCCCGATATTCGGTAATTTGAAGATTTTTGCAACATTTTTTCACGGATTTGTCTGAAAATTGGTATTTGTTAGTCATAATGGGTTCCAGCTCCGGTGGCGAAACATTGCATGTATGGGTCCATGATTTGGTATAGCCCCCATATAACGGTACCCCCGGATATTCGGTAATTTGATGATTTTTGCCACATTTTTTCACGGATTTGTCTAAAAATTGGTATTTGTGGGTCATAATGGGTCCTAGTTCGTGTGGCGAAACATTGCAATTATTGGTCCACGTTTTGGTATAGCCCCCATATAACGGTACCTCCCGATATTCGGCATTTTAATGGTTTTTGCCACATTTCTTCTAATGTTTCTTTTACCCTAAGGTGGAGGGTATTAAAAGTTTGGCCCGGCCGAACTTAATGTTTTTTTACTTGTTATTATTTCAATACTTACAGGGAAAACTCAGCAGATTATGAGAGTAGAGCTAGAGCGGAGTTTTTAATGTGTACATCGCAAAGTTATCCCACATTTTTGACATTTTCGGATTATGATTCCTTGAAATACGTTGATTTAGGTAAATAGTGTTGTTGTGCAATGTTGCAGTTGAAATTGGTGAGAATAGGTTTAAATTTAGATATAGATGTCATATATATCCTCAACCGACAGTTCCCATATATATATATATATATATATATATATATATATATATATATATATATATATATATATATATATATATATATATATATATATATATATGTTTCAGTCGATTTGGAGTTTAAAGACCCTCACATGCGTAATATGCACTCCACAACAATGATCTTTCGTACCAGGTATCAGATACAGCCCAGAAAGAACTCTGTCAAATTTTATCGATATCGGATCAGATTTGTATATAGCTCCCATATATATTTTTATCCGATATCAGGTTTATTGTGCACCAAATGGCTAATATCAGCCCAAATGGACTAATTTCTGGCAATTCCGACTCAATTCATCCTAGAAACAATTACTTCAAAATTGGGGAAAGGAAGCAGTTCAGATATAGCTATAGCTCTAACATATGTTTCATCCGATTTGTTCTTTAGGTCCCTCACATGCGTAATATGCACTCCAAAACAATGATATTTGATATCGGCAATCAGCAACAGCTCAAAAATACTTCTGCCAAATTGTATCGAGATCGGTTCAGATTTTTGTATAGCTTCGATATAAATCTTTATCTGATTTTACGGTTATGTTCACCATATATGTAATATCCGGTATATCTATTGCTCCAACAAATACAAAATTGGCAGAAATCCGGCACACTTTTGGAATCTGTTGGTAGTTCTATCTTACCTTTTTATTGTACCATTGGTTAAAATCTATTTAAGCAGGATCGTAGCAAGTAAAAATATTCCAAAAAATCATTTCTCATAAAATTCTTCCATAGGTTCTGGAAGACATAAAAAGTCCACATTTCACCTAAATGCCAGGAATTCATAAATATGAAAAAGACATTTAGGGTTATAGCCGTACTTTAGGTGAGTTTATGCAAAAATCTCCTACAAGACATCGTTTCAGAAGAATGACGTCTAAGACAAAGATATTTCTCATCAAATTTTCCAAAACATATAAATCTCTATTAACAAAAAATATATGCATCAATGATCCCAAAACACACTCGAAAATATTCCCTAACATTTTTGATAAAATTTTCCTCGGACTTTTTTCCAGTTAACACCTGAAAGTAACATAAGATTTTGTTTAATGCAGATGGTGTCAAAAGAAGAAATATTCTACACAAAATTTCACTACAAATCTGAGCATAAACCTTATATCTAGCTTTAATAGTTTTTTTAAGAGAATTAAATTTGAAATGTATGTACTCCAAATGAAAATTATGTGCTCGCTTTTTATACCCTCCACCGTCCGTTTGTAACTCATCGAAATAATAATTTTAGATTTAACAAAGTATATTATTTTCTTGATCAGCGTGAAATCCTAAGACGATTTAGCTCTGCTAGACTGAAAACGAATGAAGAAAAGAAACTAAAATTATGCACAGATCAGTCGTTTGTCTGTAGGCAGTTCAAGTTCGAAGATGGGCTGTATCGGTCCACAATATCATATGGCCCCCATATAAAGGCACCTCCCAATATTCGGTATTTCGATGATTTCAGCGATACTATTCACCGGAATTGTTTCAAATTTCGTATTTATAGTTCGTAATGGGAACTACAGTCTATGACAGAAAATCGTCTATGCCTGTCCAGGTCTACGTGTAGGCTTCATATATCGGTACCCCCCAATATTCAGTATTTTGACGATTTCAGATACAATTCACCGAAATTGTTTGAAATGTGATATTTTGACGTGTACTACAGCCTGTGACATGAAATTGTCTATGCAGGTACAGGTCTTTATTCCATATTTTGATGATTTTAGCTACATTATTCTCCGGTTTTTTTTTTTCAAGTTTTGTATTTGAATATTGTATTAGCCTATGACAAAAGTTGCCTATACAGGTCCATGTCTTCACGTAGACCTCATTATAATGGCAATATTCGGTATTTTTAAGATTTTAACAGATTTACCGATTTTATTTTTTGAAGATTTCCAAATTCGTT